GACAGCAAAGTCAAAGCAATATTCAGAATAGTCTGACTTGTATGAACCTATGGCACTGGCTACTTAGTCACTTAGGAGTAAAACATAGGAAATCTACTAAATGTTTACTTGATCTGTACAAGCAGATGAATTCTAGGTCAAGTGAACAGCAGTCTAACTCAAATCATTAGAATAGAGAGTTACGTATGGTCTTTCAATCAATTCTGAGACTTGAGTGAGTTTAAAGACCTACAACCCCTTGAATGAAGGGGAGGCTAGGTCCCCTTGAGGAAGGACTCCAATACACTGCCAAAAATTTATACTGTTACTCTCTCTCCCAGCCTTCCCCAGAGGGATCTACAGCCTTTTATGAGAGTGACTGTTCATTGAGGAAAGGGAAATAATCAGACTTTTCGGGGATTACCAGATACTGGCTCTGAACTGACACTAATTCCAGGAGACCCAAAATGTTACTGTGGCCCACCAGTCAAAGTAGGGGCATATGGAGGTCAAGTTATTAATGGAGTCTTGGTTCATGTCTGTCTCACAGTAGGTCCAGCGGGTCCCCAAAGTCATTCTGTAGTGATTTCCCCAGTTCCAGAATGCATAATTGGAACAGATATACTCAGCAACTGGCAGAATCCCCACATTGGATTCCCAACAAATGGAGTAAGAGCTATTATTGTAGGAAAAGCCAAATGGAAGCCATTAGAACTGCTTCTACCTAGAAAAAGAGTAAACCAAAAGCAATACTGTATTCCTGGAGGATTTCCAGAGATTACTACCACCATCAAGGACTTGAAGGATGCAGGGGTGGTGATTCCCACCACATCCCCATTCAACTTGCCTATCTGGTCTGTGCAAAAAACAGACGGATCTTGGAGAATGACAATAGATTATCAAAAACTTAACCAAGTGGTGACTCCAATTGCAGCTGCTGTTCCAGATGTAGTTTCATTGTTTGAGCAAATTAATACATCTCCTGGGACCTGGTATGCAGCTATTGATCTGGCTAATGCCTTTTTCTCCATACCTGTTTTGAAGGACCATCAGAAGCAGTTTGCCTTCAGCTGGCAAGGCCAACAATACACCTTCACTTGCCTACCTCAGAGCTATATCAACTCTCCAGTCCCATGTCATAATTTGGTCCACAGGGACCTTGATTACCTTTCCCTTCCACAAGATGTCACACTGGTCCATTACACTGATGACATTATACTGACTGGACCTAGTAAGAAAGAAGTGTCGATGACTCTGGACTTATCGCATGCTAGAGGGTGGGAAATTAATCCCACAAAAATTCAGGCACCTTCCACCTCAGTGAAATTTCTAGGGGTCCAGTCGTGTGGGGCATGTCGAGATATTCCTTCTAAAGTGAAGAATAAGTTATTTGCATCTGGCTGCTCCCACAACTAAAAAGGAGGCACAACACCTAGTCAGCCTCTTTGGATTTTGGAGGCAACATATTCCTCATTTGAGTGTACTAGTCCAGCCTATTTATCAAGTGACTCGAAAAACTGCTAGTTTTGAGTGGGGTCCAGAACAAGAGAAGGCTCTGCAACAGGTTCAGGCTGCCGTGCAATCTGCTCTGCCACTGAGGCCATATGATCCAGCTGATCCAATGGTGCTTGAAGTGTCAGTGGCAGATAGAGATGCTGTTTGGAGTCTCTGGCAGGCCCCTATTGGCGAATCACAGTGCAGACCCTCAGGATTTTGGAGCAAAGCTCTGCCATACTCTGCAGGTAACTACTCTCCTTTTGAGAAACAGCTTTTGGCTTGTTACTGGGCCTTAGTAGAGACTGAACACTTATCATGGGACACCAAGTCACCATGCAGCCTGAGCTGCCCATCATGAACTGGGTGTTGTCTGACCCAAGAGTCATAAAGCTGGACATGCACAGCAGCACTCCGTCAACAAATGGAAGTGATACATACATGATCAGGCCCAAGCAGGACCTGAAGGCACAAGTAAGTTGCATGAGGAAGTGGCCCAAATGCCCATGGTCTCTACTGTTAAGTTACCTTCCATCTCCCAGGCTGCACCTATGGCCTCATGGTGAGTTCCTTATGATCAGTTGACTGAAGAAGAGAAAACTGGTGCCTGGTTTACAGATGGTTCTGCATGATATGCAGGCATCACTCAGAAGTCGCAGCACTACAGCCCCTTTCTGGGACCACCCTGAAGGACAGTGGTGAAGGGAAATCCTCCCAATGGACAGAATTTCGAGCAGTGCACCTAGTTGTTCACTTTTCTTGGAAGGAGAAATGGCCAGATGTGAGACTGTATACTGACTGATGGGCTGTGGCCAATGGTTTGGCTGGATGGTCAGGGACTTGGAAGGAACATGATTGGAAAATTGGAAACAAGGATTTATGGGGAAAAGGTATATGGATAGACCTCTCTGAATGAGCCAAAGAAGTGAAGATATTTTTGTCTCATGTGAATGCTCACCAAAGGATGACCTCAGCAGAGCAGGATTTTAACAATTAAGTGGATAGGATGACGTGTTCTGTGGAAACCACTCATCCTCCTTCCCCAGCTACTCCCATCATTGTTCATTGGGCTAATGAACAAAGTGACCATGGTGGCAGGGATGGAGGTTATGCATGGGCCCAGAAACATGGCCTTCCACTCACCAAGGCTGAGCTGGCTACAGCCACTGCTGAGTGCCCAGTCTGCCAGGAGCAGAGACCAACACTGAGTCCCCGATATGGCATCATCCCTCAAGGTGATCAGCCAGCAACCTGGTGACAATGTTGATTACATTAGACCACTTTCATCATGTAAAGGGCAGCGTTTTGTCCTTACTGGAATAGACACTTACCCTTGATATGGATTTGCCTTCCTTGCAGGCCATGCTTCTGCCACAGCTACCATCCATGGACTTACAGGATGCCTTATCCACTGTCATGTTATCCCACACAACATTGTCTCAGATCAAGGGAGTCACTTCACAGCAAATGAAGTACGGCAGTGGACCCATGCTCATGGAATTGACTGGCCTTACCATGTTCCCCATCATCCTGAAGCAGCTGGATAGACAGAACATTGGAATGGCCTTCTAAAGACATAATTACAGCACCAGCTAGGTGGCGATACCTTTCAGGGTTGGGGCAATGTTCTCCAGGAGGCTGTATATGCTCTAAACCAGCATCCAATATATGGTGTTGTATCTCCATAGCCAGGATTCACAGGTCCAGGAATCAAGGGGTGGAAATGGGAGTGGCACCACTCACTACTATCCCTAGTGACCCACTTGCAAGATTTTTGCTTCCTGTCCCCGTGACCTTATGCTCTGCAGATCTAGAGGTCTTAGTTCCAAAGGGAGGAATGCTTCCACCTGGAGACGCATCACTGATTCCACTGAACTGGAAGCTAACAATGCCACCTGGCCACTTTGGGCTCCTTATGCCTCTGGATCAACAGGGAAAGAAAGGAGTTACCATACTGGCTGGTGTGACTGATCCTGATTACCAAGAGGAAATCAGATCGATATTACATAACAGAAGAAGAGTATGTCCAGAATGCAGGAGATCCCTTATGGCATCTCTTAGTACTACCATGCCCTGTGATTAAAGTCAATGGAAAACTACAGCAAACCAATTCTGACATGGCTACTAATGGCCCAGACCCTTCAGGAACGAAGGTTTGGGTCACCCCACCAGACAAAGAACCACAACCAGCTGAGGTGCTTGCTGAGGGCAAAGGGAATACAGAATGGTTGGTAGAAGAAGGTAGCTCTACATACCAGTTACGGCCATGTGACCAGTTGCAGAAATGAGGACTATAATTGTTGTAAGTATTTCTGCTTTGTATGTGTGCATCACATATTTTTGTTTTCTTCACTTATAAGATACAAACAGGGCTAGTGCATTTTAGGTTGTATGTGTGTTCATTGTATCATGTTAGGTGCAAGTATGACTTTGTAATTGTCTTTATTCAGAAATTATGTATGGTTTGGGGAGATGTGTACAGGTGCCAAGTTGACAAGGGGTGGACTATGGTGGTTAAGATTGTGTGTCAACTTGGCTAGGCCATGATTCTCAGTGCTTTGACAGTCATATAATGTGATCACTCCCTGTTGAGATTTGATACGTGATCACTCCCATGATGCAATCTGCTGTGAGTAGCCAATCAACCAAAAGGAAGTTTCCTTGGGCGTGTGGCCTGCATCTGAATATAAGCAGATGTTCTGGCTTTGCCTGCACTGGATCCTGCCACTGGCTCCTGTTCATCTGACCACCAGTTCTTGGGACCTGAACTAGCAGCTTACCTGTGGTCTTGCCTGCCAGTCTTGAGATTCACTGATCTTCACAGCCTGTGAGCAAGAGCCTGCTCTCCAACCTGTTGATCTTGGGTTTGCCAGCCCCTGCAGCTACATGATTAGGAGAAGCCTCTATCCTGATCCACGGGGTTGGGACGTTCCAGCCTCTACAACTGCATGAGCCATTTCCTTGACATAAATCTCTATATATATATATTTACACACTTTACTGGTTTTGCTTCTCGAGAACTCAGCCTAAGACAGGGAGAGAAACTATATAGGGACTTCTGTCATAAATAATCAGTAGGGAGAGTCTGGTTGAAGCATTGTTTATTGTTGTTGTGGTTTTTTTTGCTTGTTTGTTTTAATTTTGTTAAAATGTTTTAAATAGAAATCTCTTTTTTCCTCTGTAAAAAATTAAATTTGTTTTTATATACTTAGTAAATTTAGGATTGGTACTGCTTTTGAACATGACACAATGCTGCAACTGGCCACAAGGGACAAGGGCTCTGCTCCATGCTGCTAACAATCTTAAAGGAATATTATACTCAAAAAGATCTAAATCAATTACACATGTTTGAGAGGTATGCATAAATAAAGCTCAATGTTAATGCTAAGATGAAAGTGAAATTCATTAGGATTAATAGCCAGAAATCTCAGATGAAACGTTTGGCTTCAATTCTTACCGTCTCTTCATCTTGTTAATAACATAGACTCACGGGCATTAAGCAATATTTGAATAACAAGCTTCCTTACATGATTTGGATTCCGGCGATGGTGGAGAAATATTAGACACAGCAATGTCACTTTTCGATTTTTTAGGCTTCTTCGCATTTAGTTGGCAGGGTTTATCATAATTTCTGAAATCCCTTCTTGTTCCTTTATGTTCTATTAAAACAAAATATATATAAAAACCCAATGATAAGTGATTTAAGATTGATCACAAATCGGATCCATGAAGTCATTAGATACACCTGGCAAAAGCTACAGGTCATCTCATATCAAAATTAATACATATAACCAAATGTATTTCCTTGTATATTTGAGTTTGGGATTTGATACGAATCAGTTTGGATATGAACATGATTGATATTATATCATATTAAACTATTATATAAAAGGCTTTTTAAGGCAGGGGTTTCCATTATTTAAAATAATGTTCTTTAAAAGAATGAGTGTCATGGAATAAATCATTTTATTCTGTTGTAAATAAAAACAATTAAACATTTAAGTAAATGTCACTCACCTGATGCTACCTTATCTATTGTTCAGTGTGACACATAAAATCATTGATATTCACCTAAATTTCTTCCATAGTATCACCTATTTTTTTCCACTTCTCTATTCAAGAAAGGTTAATTGAACTAATTTAGTTGTAGTTCCCCTTCAAAGGTGATCAGTGTCATACCCATTGCCAAATTAGATGATGATCTTTCCAAGACTTCATCCCTCTTGACTACCTTGTAGCATTTCATATTTTTAGACAGACCAATTGTTTGTAGAGCTTTCCTTTCTTTATTCTCAGGGTATTACATTCTCCTGGTCCCCCCCATTAGTACCTATCTGACCACTCCTTTTCTGTTTCATCCACTGCTTTCTCATCTTCCATCTGTTTTATCTATGTGGCATTTCTTAGAATTTCCTTCTGCCTTCTTGTCTTAACTTACGAGTTCTAAAACTATCCAAGGTTTGTTGATGACTCCTAACTTTCTCTGGTCACTCACTTATAAATACCAGTTAGACATCAATACTCTTCTATGAGTTAGAATCGACCTGATGGCACATAACAACAGATAGCACTAAACATCTCATGAATTCTTCAAACTTTCATGTTAATACTGTGCTTAACTATCTGTTACCCAATTTGTCCTATGTAAAACATAACAAAACTTGCCCAGTCCTGAGCCATCTTCATGATCTTTGGCATGTTTGAGTCCATTGTTGCAGCCATTGTGTAGTGCCTTCTAACCTAGGGGCCCATTGTCAAGCACTACATTGGACAATATTCTCTTGTGGTCCATAGGGTTTTTGCTGGCTAATTTTTCAAAGTAGATAGCCAGGTCTTTCTTCCTAGTCTGTCTTAGTCTGGAAGCTCCACTGAAACCTGTCCACCATCAGTGACCGTGCTGGTATGTGAAATACTGGCGGCATAGCATCCAGCATCACAGCAACATACGAGCCACCACAGTACAACAAACTGACAGGTGGTGGTAGAATAAATTATGTCTCCAAAATAGATGCAGACAGAGAAATACTCCTAGACTGTAAACCAACAAAAGGAGATGACCCTGGGATAGGGGTCAGCGTTGCAGATGTTCAGAAATCTTCCAATCTCTTTCTGCCTGGCCTATCTTCTACCTTAATGCTATTTAGGAAATACCTCCATGGGTACCTCCTGGGTTCTAGTACACCACTGACCAATATTCCCTGTGTCTAGTGCTTGGAATTTTTATGCCTCTTTCACTATTCAATGGGATGATGAAGGTGGACAAGTTGGGTATCTGCTAGTTAAGCACAATATTAACATGAAAGTTTGAGTTGGAGCCTACTCAATGGTAGCTAACAACACCACCACCAGTTTCTTCTAATGTAACATAGCTAAAGGAAGAAAACCCTTGCCATGAAATTTAGCATCCCATGACACAAAGAAAGAGTACAAGAAGCCAGAAAGGAAAGATACATTAAATTTTGTAGTTTTTTCATTTCCCACTTCTGACAAGGGAAAAAAAAATTCGTACTCATTCAAATAATCTAGCAATGATATTGTCCTCATTTAGTTAATCGTAAAGAAGAGGCAGGAAGTTGCAGGTCACTGAACAGAGACTGATAGGATTCAAGTGAAACTGGAAATTTTAATAGTAGGCATGAATTTCTACTGTCTCTCTAAAATTTCTGAGAAGGATCCAAATAGTACCAAGCTATATTGTGCAGTGGTGCCGTGGTTAATCACTCAGCTGCTAACAGAAAGGTTGATGGTTCAAACTCACCAGCCACTCGGCGGGAGGAGAATGTGGCAGTCTGCTTCCATAAAGATTACAGCCTTGGAAACCTTAGGGGGTAGTTCTACCCTGTCCTGTAGGGTCGCTCTAAGTCAGAATCGACTCAACAGTAATAGGTTTTTTTGTTTGTTTATATTGTGAGGGGGATAAAGAAGAGTCCACCTATACTATTTATTGACAAATGCAAAACTAGATAAAACTCTCTCATTTAAATTTGGAAAAACAAAATATATTTTTTAAGAAAAAATCAATATAAAAAAGAATATAGCATTCAAGATACAGAGGAAATTCATAGTTCTGAACAAGATTGACTATGAAAGTACAATTAAATTTTAGAACATGACTGTATTATCTTCTCAATAAAAATGAAAGAAAATGAACTCTATGAAACAAAAGACAAATGAGAGCTGAGACATGACAACCAACCTATGATAAAAATGCAACTGCAGACAGAAATCTAAAAAAGAAAAAAGAGATGAGGTAAGGAAATACTGACAGGAAACTAAAATGCAATACCAAGATTTAAACTGGTGCTCAAAGACAAAAAGAGAAAACTGATACTATAGAAAACTGAATCAGTAACACAGAGCACACACTTGATAGACTTCCTCAAAAGATAGTCGATAAAGCAAGAACGGCAAATACAATGTCAGACAAAATGAGGGGAAGAGAGGACAGCAAAGGCAACTCAATGTACACATAGTTGATTTTCCTACAGAAGAAATCAAAACAAATATAATGGGAGCAATAACCAAGTACACAAGAAGTAAACTGGTTTGGGCTGAAGACCTGGGTCTGCTGATTGAAATGAGTCACTGAATACAAGTCAGTATTTAAAAAAGGGACTATCAGCTAGACATATTCCAGTAAAACTTTTGAATATCAAAATTAAAGAAAAAAGAAATCTCATAAATATTCTCAAAGAAAAACTATCTAAAAAGAAGAAAAATAAGATCACGTTCAGGTTTTTCCTTCAAAATATTAAATGAAAGACTCTTGAGTAGAGAATGTTTTATCCCAAGTTGCTATACACATTTAAAAACAAGAGGATACTTCTCAGCTATTTTCAGTATCTTCAAAAAGAATAATACCATGTACTCTGAATACTGAGATATTTTCTAGCTAATCAAAAGATGCACTAAAATAATTAATTTAAAATTGCAGTCAAGGTTTAAACTAGCATTATTACTGTTACCCAAATTATAACCACTTTGATTATATTTACATCCAAGAATCACTCTATGCTTTCCCTTGCCCTCCTGCCATACTCTTCCTTCTAAAATCCTTCTTCCTTTTCTGGAAGCACAGATTCCATGGAAAACAAACACTCCTGCATCTTCAAATCCCTCACCTTCAAACACTTCATTCTTCCACAAGATCACTCCTTCCTCTGCAGTTTCCTGCAGTGGAGGGTGTTCATTCCCCTACGTTCCAGCTGCCACAGGCTGTAGAAGTGTGACTGGGATTTCCTGGTCCACTAATGCCTCTATAAGAGGATGTCTCACTAGTTAATAAAAGTCCCTCATCTCTTGAGGTAAACACTGCCTGTCTACACTACTCAGTCATCTTCATTATTGCTATCTTTCTGCCTCTGATTATTCCCACAGCCTTACTGAAGACATTGGCACAGGTTTCCTTGTCATTTTAATAACTTAGATAAAATTCTGTGACCTCTTAATCCTTAGACAAACTATTTATTAAGCTTCATACTTCCTCGCCTTCCTTCACTCTGAAGAGCTTCACTTCCCTGATTCTTCAGCACCTCCAAACCAGGGTCATTCACAGGACCTTCACTCAGTAAATAACCTCACCTCATTGCTTTCCTAACACAGTGGTGGTCATTCTACCTGGAGGAGCCTTTTGAGGACCCAAGTTCTTCAAAAACTTTGATCTCATATATCAGTCTCTCAGGACAACTCCTATCCTTCTGGATCTCTCATATTTTCATTGTACCTACACACCTACACTGACCTCCTAAAGGTCTTTACCTCTTCATTTTGCTTTCTCTGTCTAAACTCCTTTCTGCCCTTGCTTGCTAGCCTCTCATACTAGACGATGTACTTGATCACCTGGACAATTTGCATGTAAATATCCTCAACTCCATTGCAAAACTCCCACCCTAGCACAACCACAATTCTCAATCAGCCCTCCAAACTGTTTCCTCTGCTCCCTGCTCAGTACTTCTGGGTACTGCTGGAGAAAAAAATCACAGTCTTCCAGATAATTTCCATGATTAATTAACAATCCTGAACTTCAGTTAGGTCCCAGAATCGACTGACCATTTTTGTTTTTTGTTTTCATTTTGTGAACCACTTTTCCCTTTCTCTAGGTGACTCTATAATTGACATCACTCAATTCAAATTCCTCTATGAATCCCCATCCCTCTTGCCCTCAGTAAATAACCTTACCTCTTAGTAAAAAGAAAATTTAGGCCACCAGGTATAATCTCACACTTGCCTTCTCCCATCTCATCCCATACTCTTTTCCATTCTTTCACTCTCACGGTTTTAATGATTTTTGTGATACTTAATGCCACATCTGTGACTCCTACTTGACCCATCCCCAAAACTCTAGACTTATATCCAACTGCTTGCTGGAATTATCCACTAAGATGTCCCACAAGAAACTCAAATTCATCAATTAGAACTGAACCTATAATTTTCTTCATAAATTTAATCCTGTGTTCCCATCTTGCTTTATTAAACAATCAGTTATCCTATTACCCACATCAGTAAACAGGGAGTTATAATGATTATAATAATTACTGACTATTGATAATGATTCTTATAATCATCATAACTCCAGGTTTACTGACCCGCCTCCTTCACTCTCTCCAAGCAGAGTCATTAAACAACTGTGGTGAGCAGAACCCTAAAATGGCCTCATGATCTCTGCCCCGTATTGTTACACCCTGTGTAATCCCCTCCCCACTTGAGTGCAGATAGGACATCTGACTGGTTTCTAACCCATAGAATGTGGCCAAGGTGATCTTATGTCAATGTCATGATTATGTTGTTTTACAGACTCCATCTTAGCAGACTTGACTGAGAGAGACTCCCTTACTGGCTTTAAAGAGTAAGCTGCCACGATGTGAAAGAACCATGTGGCAAGGAACTGCGCGTTGCCTCTAGGAGCTGAGAGCAGCGCTAAGGTGAAGCCGGAAAACTCATATACACCAAGGTCTATTGGGCTTATCCATATTCCCTTCTTCTGAGATATAGGAACAATCTACAATACACTAAACATTCTGACAACAATTAAAATTGAGCTGACTACCACATGGAGTGAGAAATTCAGAACCTAAATAATATCAAGTCATTTTTAGTGCTTGAAAAAGAAAGAAAAGGTGTTCTCCTTTTGTTTCATGGGGACAGATAATCAGTTATGGAAGGGAGAATGGAGCATCATTATTAACAATAATAAAGTATTACTATTTACCGTAATTTTTAATGTTTAAAGCACTTTATTTCTTACTAGAGCTGATTCTCAAAATATGATAAAAATGAGATTTGCAGAATGTAAATATTTTACCGTGGTTTGCACAGCCATCAAGTAGAACGAGGACTGCAACCCAGATTTCATGTCTCAAGGTCCACGATCATTTCTTTAACCTCTCTATACTCTTTCCAAACTTTGTGTTTTGAGGACATTTAAGAATTAAAAAAATATTAGGTAATACTATTTCACCTCCCCCAAAATAATACAAACAAGGATTTTCTCCATCACTCCAATCTCGCCCCCACCCCTGCCAATGGAAAAAAATTCTTGGAGTAACATGTAAATATGAGACCTTAAATACTTAAATTTTTTAACGCATTAAAATGGAGAATTCCAGAATAAAAATATAATTAGCAAGCAATACATAATTTTTATCTTTGAGACGTGGATACTGGAAAGGAGATAAAATGAAGAGAAATGAGGTAGCCAGAAGTTGCTTGCAGACAGACTTGTTCTGCCTCCTGACAAAATGGCAAAAGAGATCAAAGACAGGAGCAAATCCAAGTCATACTGATGCAGAGTACAAGGAAGTCAGAAATGGTTTAAAAGCAAAGGCTAGAAGAGGGACTAGAGAGATCCCTCAGACACATTCAAGTAGGACACATTCAAGGCATTAAGCAAATCTGGAACTAAAAGATGAAATACTAAAATAATTTCAACCAAGAGAGGGACCAGTGTCTACAAGAATGCTACAAAAAGAAATGCTTGGACAGAATTGCTTAATACTTGAAAACAATTTGAAATTTACCAAGTAACATGAGCATTTACCTGTGATTTACTTTAAATTTCTAGAGTTTATATCTGAAAATACCTTCACAAGGTATTCTTCACACTCTTGCAGTGATTATACAACTGAATGTGTGCTGCCTACAATGGATTATCAACCTCAGGCAGAGATGACACAGGCAGCCCCCAAAAAAGTGCTTGAAAGCAATTTCTATCTCTTTTTAAAATAAACTCAGATCTTCTACATTAGGTCAGAAGGAAGAATCTCCCTAATGAATGGGTAGCTGGAAATTTCAGTACTAGTTCCTATCCTCTCTCTGGAATATGACACGTTATTATTTTCCTGCCTTCTCTTTATTTCCCAGAGCAAATCTAAGATAATGCAAAGATTTAATAAAGATATAACAAAAAATAGGAAAATAGACATCAACTATTAGTAACAGCTATATTAAGTATTTACTATTTTCCAGGCACTTTTCTAAGATGTGGACTTGTGTTAACTCATTCAATCCTCAATCATAACAATGTGAGGTAGGTAATGTTATTCCTGTTTCACAGATGAAGAAACTGAAGCACAACATCAAACAACCTGCAAAACACTGCATAGCAAGTCAGTGACAGAGCTACTTGAAGTCAGGAAACCCTCAATTTTAACTACGATACTATTTCTAGATATTACAATTTATATAGTGTGGCTTCTTCAGTGGGCTCACAGTCCTCATCTAGCCTGCCTCGAAGCAATGGTTGCCATCTTAGCTCCTACAAACCAAACTATTTAGAATTTAAATCCAAGAAGGTGAGGCCCAGAAGAATCAACAGTTCCCTCTTTTGTATGTCAAAAGCTCATATTCTAGTTTCCTGCATGATGCATATAACTTATGTATGGATAACTGACACAGAATTTCTACCCTACCCATTGTAGTGTGGCCTTTTGCCATGGTCTCAAGAAGGCAACAATATGAGAATACAGCCTAAGAAGACCAACATTCTTTCTTGGGATCCTATAAAGCATACAGCACCAAGAGGAGGAGAGGAGTGATGATGTCATCCCTGCAAAGTATTTGGAGTCCATTCAGTCATATCTCCATGGGAAAAAGGCAGCAGTTGGTTACCCAAGCTGTAGGTATGTAGGGATTTGAGTTTGAAAGTAAATGTCAAACGAACAGACAAGTGAATAGGAAAAAAAAAAGGTCAAAGTCAACTCTATTCAATTATCTTTCCAGTGCTTAGTGGGAAGATGAGGCTGTTGCAGACTCGGTAAAGCCAGTTCCCAGTGTCCAGAGTAAGTGGATCTTCATAAAGTTGAACTTTCTTATAGGATAAAATTTGGGGTTAGGTTAAATAGATAATGATCATTAGTTTGGTCACCAAGAAAGGTAACTTTACAGAAATCTATTTTTTTCTACACAGATGAACTACACGCATTTAAAAAAAAGAAATAAGTGAAGGTTGGCATAATTGGTTTAAATTCATACAGAATGAAAGCTCTTCATGCAAATCTACATGCTATTTCTGTTAAAATGGAAACCAAGGATTCCAGTATTTTGAAGCATAATGTGTAAAACAATATTCAAATTCAAGAATATTTTATACAAACGTTAGCATACGTATGGGTGAAGTCACAGATGAATGAATACATGAAAACGCTAGGTAGCAGCTATCCATTGAGATTATCTTATCATTAGAAAGACTTTTGTAACTTTTTCATTAAATGTATGCAAAACCTCTTCAAAATTAATTCCAAAATATACTTTAACTTACCTGATGTTTCACTTTCTGCCCAGAGAGCTGCAGAACCAGACAAAGTTCTTTGAAGTTGTCCACGGTTTCCCTGTTTAGACTGAAGATGGTCAATAAGAAACGGGATTGGCTGGTCAGGTGTCTCAGTTATTAACTTGGTCATTAATTCCTGAAGGAAAAACACAGCACACATTTACATCTAATAATAACAGCCACAATAAAAGGTAACAGTTACATAGCATCACTGTTGCCGGGCACTGTTGTAACTGCTTATGAACAGCAACTAAATTAATCCTCACAACAATCTTTCAAGGAAGGCATGAGTTATTGTCCTCATTTCAAGGAAACTAAGGTGCAGAGGAATTAAGCAACTTGTCTAAATTACACAGCTAATATATGGCAAAACCAGGATATATTTATTTATATGTATCTTTATTATTAAACCTAGCCTAAAACATACTAGATATTTAAATTCTTTTTAAAATCTGAGCTTCTGTTGGGTGATGGAAAGGGTGATGGAAAAATCTGGAAACAAATACGGCTGATGGTTGAACAACATGATGAACATAAGTTAATGTCACAGAATTGTACACGTGAAAAATGTTGAGTTGGTACGTGTTTTATTACATATATATTTACCACAATAAACAAAAAAGAATTTTAAACCTCAGATTACTATTTTGAAAGATGCTTTCAAAAACTAAACTTTTGCTAAAATCTCACCATATATCTAACATACCAATGTCACTGCTTCTTTCTTAGCCATATAGAAATATCTCAAACTGTCGAAAATTTTATTGGAATGAAAGAAACAAGTAACAAGTCGCATACTTGTAGAAAAATGCCTCTTAAGCTCATCTCCAACCAATACAGAATTTATTTTTAGGAAAGCACTGATGGGGGTTCATCCTTTATTTATTTTTTAACAAGTTAAGGAATGGAGAGTTCTTTCCCTGCCAAAGCAGGGTGTCCCATTTTTGGACAGCTCTAATCATACCTTAAATTGGGCAGAAATCTGCCTAAGGGTGATATCTACACATTGGTTTTCCCAGGCAGGAGCAACAAAGAGCAATCTCCAATTCGTGGTCAATTAGAATTCCCAGATTCTTCTCTGGTGAACAGCTGTCAAGCCACAAGTCCACCATTTTGTGCTGTGTAATTATGTGTGTGAGGCTACAAGCATCATTTCGCATTTCCATCAGTCACATTTCATCTTGTAGGTTTTAGCCCACAATGCTAGTCTGCCACTGTCATTTTAAGTTCAGATTCTGTGAGAGGCAGTGGTTCTAGTGAGGAGGCAAGAAAAATCAGATATTAGGATTCCTAACAGACAGGTTGCTGGAAATTCCCCATTCCTTCGTCTTGTTTTAGTTGTTGCCGGTGGTGGCCTATTTCTCCTCTTTGAATGCTTTTCAAACCTCAGGTGTTCAGGTGACTGGCTTTTTGTCATCATTCAGTCCCTAACCAGAGAACTTACCTTACTAATCTTCATTAGTCATTATCATTTCCATGTTTTATTTTCTTCATAGCAATTAGCACTCTCTAGAATCATCTTGTTTAGTATTTGCCTACCTATTGGTTGCCTGACTCTCTCCCTTCCCTACTGGAGCACTATGAGCAAGGCTCACCTGGTACTATATAAATGGGCCAGAGATGTCCCCTGTGTATTAGCCTACAATGGCCGCCATGTTGTTTACTTCTTCACTACGGGCTATGACTGTTAGCCCAAGGCAGGCTGGTGTCACTCAAATTCTCACACATTTAATTGCTTTAAATATAGTCCAAATAAACATATTTTTAACTGTTTAACTGTTTTAGCCTACTTAATTTACATACCCTGTGAAACTGCTCTCAACATCTGCCAACTGTAGATAAGACAAACCCTGAAGCTATAAAAGACCCCAAACCTCTGCTGCCCTTCAGAGCTCTCTGACACAGAGGGTCCTCACCTTGATGCCAAGTGACACCACCTAGACACATAAAATCCCTCTCTGATTTCCCCTCTCCCCCAGGAAGTCCCTTGCCCTATGCTCCTTGTGGGTAGTGGCCCTGTGTTGCTATCTCTGGAAGATCTCTTGCTTTGTGGGACTCCACCTCTCATTCCACCCTGTCCAAGCACTTCCCCCCACCCCCACCCCAAAAGCTTGTGTGCTATTTTCTCCCATGGTCCTATCTCTGCTTGATCAACCCTGAAATCACAGAACTTACTACACCTGGTTTGTTTTCTACTCTATCCCTAGGGCCTAGAACTCTACCTAGATCATAGGTGGTGTTGAATGAATGAATGAATGAATGATTGGTTTACTGACACAGGTCAATATTAGAAATTAAAGTCCCTTATTGTACCAATAAACAACAATTAAAGCAGTCATAGGTTTCTCAGTTTAGCAAAATGTAGTCTCTCCTCATATCCAAGAAACTGCTGTCACGATGTCTCAGGGATATTCGGTGACATTTAGACAGTCTACTAACACACAGATTTATCTGATTAGACGCTAACTGGAATTTTGTAGGTGGCAAGATCACAGGTTGATCTCAGAGACGAAGATAATTCAGTGAATCTTAAAAACGTGCAAATTGAATGCAGAGTTGGAACTCAACAGAGCAAGAGATTTCTACCATAAATACACTGTGAAGCAAAATATTTATCAGACAAATGTAATGATTTTTATATTCTGAAAAAACAGGTAAGCAAACAACCAATTGGCACAGGTCTTTGTTTTTATTTATGCTATTTAAAGTCTTTATCATTATAGTTATAACTAGAGAGGCCATTACTCTATCATTGTAATAGTAATTGCAAAGAAATGCAGAGTTCAATTAAATCCCAATTATACATCAATCAAATGCATCTGAAAACATCTGGGACTTTGCTTCTGCAGAAGCTATGTATTATACACCTGCTCCTCACCATCTACCTCGTTTGCTGACATTTCGCATCTATGACAATAGTAAACTATCTACTATCTGACTATTTTGCACATTAATGATGTATTTCTGGCAGCAATGAATGCTGAGGTGTGAGGCAAGAGTAACGTTGGCTGTGATGGTTAAGGTTATGTGTCAACTTGGCTAGGCCATGATTCCCAGTTGTTTGGCAGTTATGTAATGACTTAATTTGGCAGTTATGTAAGGATGTAGTCATCCTACATTTTGTGATCTGATGTGGTCATCCTCCATTTTCACATGATGCCAACTTCTGCAAAACAACCTAGTCTTTGGAACCTAACCATGTGGATAAGTAAGGAGTGCATGTAATTTGTTTGAACTTATTATACGTTACAAAGACTACTAGAAAATGGAAAGAAAAATAAAAAGAAGGACCAGATAGATACTCTTATCACAGAAGGCCTGAACAGTCAGCTAAAGTAAAATTAGGTCAGATAACAGGGCTTTAAATCCATAGCAATTTCTATCCTGAAACTTCATGAGATCTCTCTCATGTGCTCTTTTTTTCTTTTTATTTTCCTTTACTTTTCAAATAAGATGGAAAGTTTCTGGATGTATTTTTATTTCTTTTCAAATAAACTGAAGTCTTCCTTTATTTTCTTTAAAAATAGATCACATAAGCTTAATAAATCAAGTAATAACTTAATTTTTCTAATCAGTCTGGTAAGTAGTTTGGGATATTTTTTACATGAAACTGAAGACACAGACCAAACTCCATCGTAAGCAAAATGAAAATAATGTTTTCAATAGAGTATGTTGGGTATCTTGGGCAAGAGTTTGATTTTAGATGATTGTATCAATAAGAGGAGGTGTCCTGCCCCTTACTCAATTCATGCATCTATTGACATTTGGACTTAAAGGATTCTGGTGACTTGAACTTGAGATAAACTCTCTAAGACGCAAAAATCTGAATCCTTAGATTTGCACAGAGATGCTTCTGGTAATAAAAAGACTGATTTCTTTCCACCACTAGGATTTAGACACATAGAGACAGAACTGATGGGCTGATAGATTTGGGGAGGTGAAAGAGGAGTCCTGCAGCTGGAATGGGTGCAAGCTGCAGACAGAAGCCCAACTGAAGAAAGTTTCATATGAATCACTGACCATGAGAAACAGAATCTAGAGCAGGAAGTCAGTCTCGGGTACAGACCTGAACATCCTAGGGAACAATGCTTCCAGGGAGAGAGAGGACACTGTCTACAAATTCCTACCAACAGAATCTAGAGCAAGAAGTCAGTCTCAGGTACAGACCTGAACATTCTAGGGAACAATGCTTCCAGGGAGAGAGAGGATACTGTTTACAAATTCTTACCAGCAGTTCAAAAGTTGTGACATAAAATTCCCCGGGCGATTTTGGCTGTGGGTGCTGTGAACTGAAAAAACAATGGAGTCATAACAGCACTGTAGCCATGGACCAAAACATTTGTGGAAATTTCAGGCTTAGGGAGTGATAAAATGCAAGTATTAATTTTGAAGATGACCTTGTGTGCACTCACAGGCTAGTTAAACCTGGGGCATTCAAATGTATTGGCAGCTACCATCAACAGATTTTATTCATACTTCTTAATTACTACTAATATAAATGAAAAGCTGTAAAAGGTACAGGAGTAGGTAGTTGTTAGACACTCATGCACTGAAATCCGATGGACATTTTAAAACCACTCATCTTCTGTTACTAGCTGCATGACTTTGGAAAAGGTACTTAATCACATTAACACTCAATACTTCACCTAAAAATGTGAACGGTAATAGTGCTTACACCGTAGGACTGCCATGGGGATTAAATAAGATAATGATTACAAAGCATTCATAAAGTGCTTGGGATATATGTAGCCTACTGTGACAGACTGTCTAACACTTTCTTCTAAAGGGGAACTATATTTCCCAGAATCTCCTTTATATGTTCTGGGCTAGATCTTCCCAATGTGAAGAATTTGCAGGAAACTTGGAAGACAGAAGAGAAGCAGGGGAAATTATTCTTTGGAGCTAATTTAAGGCAAATGTGAGGAAAGATGAGAAATTCACAGCAGCTTTCCAGGAAGTTTGTGGAAGCCTCTACTGCAAACTGGGATAGCAGTGGGAGCTCTACGAAGGTGCTGGGGAATGACAGCAGCTTCCAGGCAAGCACTTGGGAACCACCTGCATCCATGCTTTAGGCTGAAATGTTCAGGGTCAGCCCCTCTGACTTTGGTGACAGCCCCTTGACCTTCAGCAGCAGTTTTCCTGGCCTCTTATCATGTAAACTTGTTTTTATTAAGCTCCAAATGTTCTAAATACATAAAGTGGCTTCTGGTTTCCTGGCCTAACCCCAATGATACACTCAAAGTAAGTGTTAATATTTTAATGTTTACTATTATTATCACTGGAATCTCTGGGTGGTTCAAATCATTTACTTGCTTGGCTGCTAAGAGAAAGGCTGACGATTCTAGTCCACTCAGAGGAGCCTTGGAAGAAAGGCCTGGTGATCTACTTCTGAAAAATCAGCCATTGAAAACCCTTTGGAGCACGTTCTACTCTGACACACATGGGGCTGCCATGAGTCAG